CCACCCAATGTGGTTCCACAGCTCTGAGCACTCTGCTACACTAAGTGCCCCATTAGGAGACCTCAACAGAAATGCCCAGTGGGTCTTATGAATTTATGGAGAACGCAGCTAGGAAGGCAGTGTCCTCACAGTCAGCATGGATGTAGGAGAGCAGTCAGTAAATGAGGAAATTTTATCAGCAATTTCATGACTGCAGGACTTGTCAGAGCCTTTAATGTAATGTACACAATATGTATCACATAATGTATTAATATGTCATCAGAAGGGGCAGGTAAGACACCCAGTGTTTTATAATTTCTCGAGAGACTTGTACGCTGGGAAATGCCAACACGGAATTCTGCAGAAGGAGGATGGGACAATGATGCTGCCTGGAATTAGTGTCCTGGTCAGGGCAAGGTCCCAGGCTCCCAGGGGGCAACTGAGGGCCTCCCCGTGAGCTCTGCCCCAATGACCCCCCACTTCGCTTCCCTTAGGTTCAATATTGGTGGCCCCACCTCCTCCATCTCCGCCCTGTGCTCCTACTTCTTCGATGAAGGTCCTCCAATTCTGTTGGACAAAATCTACAGCCGGCCCAACGACTCCGTCAGTGAGCTCTGGACCCACACCCGGCTCGCAGGTTCGCTTTCCCTTTCCTGTTCTCATTCTAGAAGCTTCTAGAAAATCAGGGAAAGACAGCTTGGGTTCGGGGAAAAGTAATAGTAAATGGAATATAAAGCCCTTGACCCATGCTGTGCACTTTTACATATGATTCTTAATCCCTACAAAATGCTACCATTATGCTTATTTTCTAGAGGGAAAAAAAAGTGGGTCTTAAATAGGTTGGGTCTCTTGTCTAACATCACCCAGTTAATAAGTCAAGTGTCTAATTCTGAACACTGGTTTGTCTAAAACTAAAATGCCCGTCCTGGCCACGAAAACCATCAGCATGCAAGACACAGCAGAATTAGAAGGGCTGCCTGCCCTTCACCAAACCCCACGGAGTTTCTAGTGCCCATCCCACCTGAGCTCTCGGCAGAAGCTCAGCACACTTGCTTGAACAAAGTTTGTGGTTCTAAAGGCGCCTCTGCCGTTGGGCCCAGCACAGCAGGTGCCATGCTCTGTAGAGCCAGGGCTCTCACGGTCCCCATGGCGGGGAACAGCCTCCCTCTGACTCCCTTGCTCAGCACAACAAACCAAGGAACTCTCACACCCATCCGACAAGAGGCTGGGAGACCAGCGGTGGGGGGGGTGGGGGGGAGGGTGCATATGACCAGCAAAGCACCCCACGATGTTCATTTGTACACGTCCTTATCACACAAGGATTCGAGGGGAGCTATCAAGACATACATTCAAAAACACTGCAAAATATAAATAAAATTTCTTAGAACCACGTGAACTGTAAATTCAAATAGACACTCAAAACCAAGAGTTACAAACAGACTCAAATCTGCAAGATCCCGGAGTCTTAGAATTGTAAGGATGTCCAGTATGGGAGCCACATGCCACACGTGGCCACTGAGCATTAAAGTGTGGTTCATATGAACTGGTATGTGAAAAGTGTAAAATGCACACCAGATTTTTGAGAGCTTTTTACGGAAAAATAAAGATGCACAGTATCTCCACGATGTTATTGATTACATTCTTGAGATGAACTTTTTTTAGATACATTGAGTTAAATAAAACATGGTTAAGATTCATGTGATCTGTGTTTCTTTCTTTACTTGTTTAATGTGGCTCCTAGAAAACTTGCAGTAACATCTGTGGCTCACATTCTGGCTCACATTGTGTTTCTATTGGACATCGTTATCCTAGAGGGGTATTTGGCTCTTCCTGGATTCCAAAATGGAAAGAGCCTCTGGCAGGCTAGGCATTCTTATTATTCATGAAGAAGAAGCACATCCTTTTCTCGGGAAAGTCAAGGCTCCTCCCATCACTCAAAGATAAAAGTACCGGAAGTGTGTGAAGGAGTTGTCAAGCCCTTACATACTGGAGAACAGGCACACGTTCGTACCCCCATTTGACAGATGCAGAACTGGGGCTCAGAAAGGAGTGACTTGCATGTGGACACAAGGCCACAGAACTAAATCCCAGGCCTTCCTCTTTGCGGCTCCACACAGTACAGAGAAGGCAGGTGCCCCACGGTGCTGACTGGGCTCTCCATCTTCTGTCTCCCAGGGGAACGCTACGGCTCCAAGAAGAACGTGGCCATTCTGACCAGCGCGCTGACAGCCGGCGCCGCGGAGGAATTTACCTACATCATGAAGAAGCTGGGCCGGGCGCTGGTAGTCGGGGAAGTGACCAGCGGGGGCTGCCAGCCACCACAAACTTACCATGTGGATGACACTCATCTTTACATCACCATCCCCACGGCCCGCTCGGTGGGGGCTGTGGATGGCAGCTCCTGGGAAGGGGTGGGCGTGGTGCCCCATGTGGCTGTCCCTGCTGAAGGAGCCCTCAACAGAGCCAAGGAGATGCTCCAGCACACTCTGCTGAGGGCGAGGAGGAGCCCCAGGGGGGGCAGGACCTCCAAGCCACACACCCAGGGCACTCCAACACGTGGTCCTGCCTGAGGCCTTGAGGGGCAGAAAAGGGACCTGCTGAGCTCTGGTAGGCTTAGAGCTGAAGACACCCTTGGAGTTCATCCAGTGGTCTCTTCACCACTGCCAACATCTCTGTTTGAGCACCTAGGGACAGGCAGCTCCAAGGCAACCTCCTCCCATAGTAGTTATTTTGGGGAGGTGAAGTCAAATGTACCTCCCACCCATGCTTCTTAACTGCCAAGCACTGGTCCCAGAGCAGCTCTATCCGATAGAGTTATAATGTGATCCGCAGAATAGCGGCACATGCGTCACTTTACATTTTCTAGTAGCAGCCTTCTTAAAAAGTAAAAAGAAACAGGTGACATTTTTGTACTAGTGTAATTTATTTAACCTACTATATCCACAGTAGAATCATTTCAGCAATATAAAAATTATTATGAATGAGATGCTTTGGCCTGGAGCCTCTGAAATCTGGTAGGTCGTCTGCACATACAGTGCTTCCCCTTCACGCACACGTCTGGGGCTCGTGGCCACGTGCAGCTAGAGGATCCCATGTGGGACAGTGCAGGCCCAGAGGTCAGGGACCCCCCACCGCCCCAGCACACTGTCCCCATTCAGTCCTCCCTGCATCCGCATCTTCCCCATTAAAGCACCTCTCCCTCCTGTCCTGGGATCGTTTCTGTCCCAGCATGCTCCTCCAGGGAGGCAGTCATCCTGCTCAGCCTCGTCTCCCACTGCCTGTCACTTAGCACAGCACCTGGTGCAGGAACTCACGTGAGTATCTGGCAGCGCGTCTGTTTTCCTCCAGGTGGTAGCCCTTAGACACTGGAAGACAGGTCCAGTTCCATCTAGAATCCTCCCCATCCAATTCCACACAGCAAGTGTGTCTTCCCTTCACATGTTCCTCCCAAGGCCATGCTCTCCAGCTTCCGCGAGAGACCCCAAAGTGAGCTCTACTGCCGCACAGCATTTGGACACGCAGCGTTGCTGTCTGAGGCTAGAGTGGCCCTAGGTGGTGGCCCAGGTGCCTGCCTTTCTTGGCCCAGGGCAGCGTGTCATTGCGCTGGCTCAGCTGACCAAGCCCACTCCTAACAGGACCAGAGGCGTGCAGACCCCAAGACCACCTCCGGAACCAGGCAAGCCCCAGGAGGAGATGGGAAGCTCTGGGGTGACCTGGAGGAAGGAGGGCCCTGGCTGGCCCTGGGAGCCAGGCAGCCTTACTCCTCTGGAATCAACAGGGACCCAAAAGTGAGAGACCTCCTGGACCCTGCCCAAAGTCATGGTGGGGATGAAGCTGTTACAGCAAGGACATCCCCAGCACTGCCAATCAGTGCTCTCAGAGCCCCGGGCTCCAGGATGCCTCACTCAGTGAGGAGGAAGTACTATTGCTAGCTGGCCTCGCTGTCTGGTGAGTCTAGCCTACAGCTGCCACAGGCGACTTCCCCAGGGCACCCGGCCAACCTCACTACACTGGCGCCCTCCCCAGTCTCCAGAGAGCTGTGGAATCTGGGCACACCCCCAGGTCACCATTATCTAGGAGTTTTGCCACCTGGAAAACCTTTAACCAGCCCTGTAGAAGTAGGAAAGCTCTGAAAGAAGGCATTCTGGTTCCTTTCCCTTCCGCTAATTCAAGTAAGATGAAGGGCATGACTGAATTCCAGCAGTATCACATATACTGGGATTTTACCTTTTTCTTCATTGGGCCCGTTAACATCCAGGCAGGTGTGTGAGGTCCCCGTGTGCTTATATTCTAGGGGCTCTTTCTCCTCCCTCCTCCTTCCTGTCCCCCTCCCCGACACACTCATAGCTATCTGATGATCACCTACATCAAACAATGGTTCCTCTAGGTGGTAGAACCAGGGGTAATATTTTACCTCTTCTCTTTCCTTAAATCCTTATTATAAGCATGTATCACTATTTTCAAATACAGCATTCTTCCATAAATAAAATAAGATAAACTATATCTTCAGTCTCTCACCATACCTTAGTGATCATTAATGATTGCTAATTTTTTTCCCATGGGTTTTCCTTGTATATCACTTCGATTTCTTTGATTTCTACCCACTGACGCTTGTGGACTGTTTCCTCTGTGTAAGGTGTCAGGGTAGGTGGTGTGGGGTTTGCAGATGGCAAAGGTCTCGAGGGGCCTTAGACATGGGGAGGGGTGGAGCAGCTCTTAGGGTGGGGGACATACATACTTCTCTCTCTCTCTTTTTTTTTTAATGTTTTATTTATTTCTAGGAGAGAGAGAGAGAGAGACAGCATGAGCAAGGGAGGGTCAGAGAGAGAGGGAGTCACAGACTGAAACAGGCTCCAGGCTCTAGGCTCTGAGTTGGCAGTCAGAACAGAGCCCAACGCGGGGCTCGAACCCACGAACCGCGAGATCATGACCTAAGCGAAAGTCGGACGCTTAACCGACTAAGACACCCAGGCGCCCCCATACTTCTCTCTTCTGAGCTTCACAGTGCAGAGACAACTGGTTTTTTAACGGAATACCTCGCAAATTTGCATATCATCCCTGTGCAGGGACCACGCTAATCTTCTCAGTACAGTACAATTTCAGCATGTGTGCTGCCAAAGCAGACACTGGACAACCATTTTTACCATTTCTGCAGGAGTCAGTGGACACTCAGTCAAGCTCAGTAATTCACAGGGGGCGACACTGGCCGCACAGTGGACATTCGCCCTCCTTTAGGCCACCCAGCATAGGCACGTCCCCTGAATGTTCCGAGAATCTCTCCCCATCTGATCCAGTGGGAAACAGACTCACTAAGAAACAGTGAGGCATTGGGGAGCCCAGGTTCTGGCTTGAGCCCGTCTGGGTGGATAGGCCAGGACAGCTGCTTCCCAGCTATGGAACTTGGGGGCAAGTTACTTTGCCTCTCCAGGTCTCAATTTTCTCATCTGTACAATGAGATCCATAATAGCACCCTTGAGGCTATGAAGATGAAAAGAGTCAATCCAGTGCCCAGCCAATGTCACCTGTCACCATTTCCCCACTACCGAGCTGGACATGCCACTTTTCCAGCTTCCCGGCAGCAGGGTACAGGCACAGGGCTCTTTCTGGGGCAATCAGAAGTTCCTATGAAGAATGTTTAATCTGTTTAAGCAAGCTGAATGGGTTTCTTAAAATGTTTATTTAATTATTTTGAGAGAGAGAGAGAGAGCATGCACACAAGCAGGGAGGCATGTGGGAAAGTGGATGGGGGTGAGGGAGAGAATCCCAAGCAGGCTCTGCACTATCAGCACAGAGCCTGACTCATGGCTCGATCACACAAACCATGAGGTCATGACCTGAGGTGATATTAAGAGTCAGATGCTTGGGGTGCCTGGGTGGCTTAGTCGGTTAAGCGTCCAACTTTCACTTGGGTCATGATCTCGCGGTTCGTGGGTTCGAGCCCTGCGTCGGGCTCTGTGCTGACTGCCAGCTCAGAGCCTGGAGCCTGATTCAGAATATGAAACACACTCTCTCTCTGACCCTCCCATGCTCACGCTGTCTCTCTCTCTCTCTCTCTCTCTCTCTCCTAGAAATAAATAAAACATTAAAAAAAAATTAAAAAAATAAATAAATAAAATTAAAAAAAAAAAAGAGTCAGATGCTTAACTGACTGAGCCACCCAGGAGCCCCAAACAAGCTGAATATTTAGGCAAGTGGTAGTTGGGCAGTAGCAGGGGCCAGATGCCCTCTGTGCAGGGCAGAATAGCCATGCCCCTACTCAGCAGGGATGGCAGCAACTTTCTCCATAGGCCACCCCGGCTGACCTTGGCTGAGGTCCCGCTGAGCAGCTCCTTTTTTCCTACCCACTATCCAGCCCGAGCCCCCAGCCTGCCCATCCCACACTGGGTGCAGCCCAGGCTCCTCTCAAGATATCTGGGCAAGGGGCAGGCGAGCTTTGAACCCCCATCTGTCTGGCTCCAAAGACCCTGATGTTCCCACCATACCATGAAGAGACCCTGGGCCCAGCCTGGGGAGAGGGTCTGAAGTAGGAGAAGCAGACTAAAGGGCCCTGTGCAGAGCAAAGGGGAAGCGTCGGCATTCCTGAGCCAGCTCTCTTACACTGTGACCTGCTTGGAGACAGAAGGCTGAAGAAAAAGGAAAAGGAAAACAAAATTGTGCCAGGCTTCTCTTCTGGGGACAGAACCAGGAGACCCATAGCTGCCCAGCAGCCTCTGTTCCAAAGGACTACAGGCCCCTTGAGTTCTTGATGTCCCAGCGAGAGCTCATCACCTCCAATTCTCTCACCCTACCTGGCCAAGATCTGCTCCTGCCCCCAGAACCCCATCCTGTACACAGCTACACCTCTCCCCTGAAAATTAGGGCAGAGACCAGAGAGCTAACCCCAACTCCCTCCTTTCTGCTCCCCCACCTCCACCTTGGTATTTATATAATCACCAGGACCCAAAATGAGTTGTCAGAATTGATAGTTAACAGTTAATTTCCCTCTCCCTTGTTTTAGGGTCCTGGTTTGTTTCCTAAATCCTCACCACAGCCTCCTACCCCACTTCTGTGGACCAGCCTGCATCAGGGACACTGTTCTGCCATGTAACTTCCACAGGTCTCCCCCTGCTTGAAGACACCCCCCACACACACACAAGGCATCACTGACCTGAAGTGAGGGACTGGGCCAGGTTGTCTTTCTCATCTCCCATGGTAACCCCAGCCCACAGACAGGCTGGACCTTTACTTCACCATCAGGATCCTTTCTGGAACCTTGGCCAAAGACCCCAGTCCAGCAGGGGCCAGGGATCACACTGGAGCATCAGAGGGGAGCACCCCAGCTCTTCTCGTATCACAGCCACCCTCCTGTTTCCTATGCCCCTGCACCTGCTGACCCAGCCCATGACCAATGGTCATGTTTGCGTGTCAGCAAGGGCCTTGGTTATCCACACAGCTTTAATGCAATGAGAGAACATGACTCAGAAAAAAAAAAGATGCAACCCAAAGCACACTTGTGGGCAAAGAAGCTTGCCTAGGAGGTACCCACTGGAGGGTGCCCGTCTTGCTTTCCTGGGTCCGATAGGATTAGCTGCCACCTGGCCTAAGGACCTCTTTGCTTCCTTGCTGGTAAGAGAGGCCAGCAGTGAAAATAGCCTGCTAATCCAAGCGGCTTAGAAATAGCAAGGGTATTGGAGGCCACTGGCTTCCTGTCTCCTACCCCAGGAAAACACAAGATGGCCAGGGAAGAAAATGTTAAATTTAAGGAACCCTAATCCTCCTTCCAGAATGTACTGTCTCCCCAACACCCACTCAAAATTAATGTCTGAAAATTCCTAAGAAGTGGTACAAATCAAAACACATTGGAGACTAATTTATTTTTTAAATAAAGGATTTTTTTCCTATGGGATCCATCTCTTACGATATGATTTTTAGTCCTCTCTCAAGACTTCTATTCAAAAAAAAAAAATTATGAAATTAACCTGGGTATGTAAAACCCTCTCTGAAGAGAAGAGGTCTGCAGGGGAGGTCTGTAGCCTCCAGGGGGAGCCAAGAACCTTCCATGGAAAGGGAGGATTCAAAATTTGCCTTGGAACAACTGATGAATTTCTCCTGTATGTGAGGGGTTCTCTTACTGTGCCCAGAAGAATTGGACCTGGGTGGCTCAGCACCCAGCCTCTTCCAAGTCTGGATGCTCAATGGAGTCAGGGATCTCCACTGGTGGTTGTTCCCCTCTGCCCCCACTAATGTGCTTCCTTAAATCCATGCTATTCTGGCCATCAAATTTTTAAAAACTGAATCACTAATTTCACATAGAGTCCTGATTTCCAACCTCTCTTGAGGCCTGCATTCCACCTGACACTGAAGAGCCCTCACCTAGGACAAAAGAGCTCTAGATGTCAGGTCCAACCTCCTTCCTCTACCCTCCCTTTCCCTAAGCTCAGTGGACTTCACTCATGTTTATTAATTGTACACTCTAATTATACTGTCATTTGAGTAGGATGCCCTGTCTTTAAGGGCTAAGACTCAGGAATGGGCCAGAACTTGAAATCCATGTTACCAGCCTTGTTAAGGTTTTACTTCTCTTCCAGATAAAAGCCGGGGGGGTGGGGGTGGGGGAGAGGCAGATTTTTGTTAAAGTTCATTAGCACATGTTGGGGTCTCTTATATACCTTAATTGAATGGCTGCTGCTTAGGAGACTTTTAGATATATGTTGTAGGGGCACCTGGGTGGCTCAGTCAGTTAAAAGTCCAACTTCTGCTCAGGTTGTGATCTCTTGGTTTATGGGTTTGAGCCCTGTGTCAGGCTGCGCTGACAGCTCGGAAGTTGGAGCCTGCTTTGGATTCTCTCTCTCTCTCTGCCCCTCTCCTGCTTGCATTCTGTCTGTCCCTCTCTCAAAAATAAACATTTGAAAAAAAAGATATATATTGCCATTTTCCCAGCCACTATAAGGTATTTTCCCTCACCTATTCCAAGAAATTAGCCAAGACTTTCTGGTCATTGACTCAATGGTTTCTGCATGACATGCCTGATGACAATATTGGCAGAAAACCATCAAGGCCATGATCCTAGAAGAGGTGGAGGAGAGGGGACTGAACACATTGAAGGACAGAGGCAAAGACACCAGTGGAGCATGGGGAGACTGCATGATGCTAAGAGAGATTAGCTTCTTAGGTGGGGCATACTGTGGAACTGCCTGTGAACTTGAAAGACGGGGAGGAATTTGAAAATGACAGATTGCATATCCTACCAGAACCTACAGGATCAGGGTACAGAGCAGATTAAATTAGATACAGAGAATTTAAGAAACGTGGCAATTCTTATCCCAGAATTCTAGAGGAAAGTTCTTACCTGCTGATGTGATGTTTTGTGGCAACATCACCTGCCAACTCTTAACTAGTACGGAAGGTGGCAGAGGGAGCTTGGGTGAAGTCATGATTAAAAATGACTGCTCTCCAGTATATCTGGAAGGGTAGGAGAGAAGAAGGGATGAGACAGGATTGGACTGCCAAGGGGACTTTGGGAACCCAGCCTGGTGATAAGTAGAAGCTGCCACATTAATAAACTGCGAAGTCCTCACCTCCATAAGTCATCTTGGAGTTTGTCAATTTAAATGGCTGCAAAGCACCTTGCGTGTCCATCCATTTTTATTAAAATGAATTCCATCTTACAAAGTTAAATTGGGAGATGTTTTGTTATGCTTCTTCATAACTTTTATTTGATTAACTTTAAAAAAAAAAATGTCTCCCTTGCTTTAAAATGATGTGGTTGCCGTTAGTAGTGATTCTGTGTGCGGCCACAGCCAATGTTCTTAGAGGCATGTGGGCGGGTCAGGGAAGATGCCTGAGCCGACATTTCAGGGGTCCTAGCCTTGACCTCACCACCATTTGCCCTGCATCACTTTGCAGGTCAGCTCACCAGTGGGCCTCCGTGCTCACCACTCTGAACTGGAAGGATGGACTAGAAGTCTAGAGTCCCTTTCCATTCTAAATTTCTAGTTTGTATAGTGCATTTATGACTTTCAAAGTGATTTCACAGAAATGTGGACCAATCCAATAAGCCAGAAGAGGATGGCTGTGTGCACCATTGGACAGATGTCAAAATACTATGAGCAGCGGGGCCAGGGTTTTTCCCTAGATTGGATCTAGGCATCTCATTCACTCATTCAACAAAGGTCTGTTGAATACTTACTATGTTCCTTCAGTGTCCTTCCTGCTGGGGATACAGCAGTGAACAAAACAGCAAAAATCCCTTGTGGAACTAAGGTTCTAGTAACAGGAGAGATGCTGTAAATAACAAATCAGTAAACTCATGTAGTATCCAAGATACGGAAAAGTGCTCAAGAAAAGGGTGATGGGAAATGTGGGGGAGTATTCAGGCTGCAAGTTTAAATTTTAGAAGGGGTCAATGCCTGGTCCTAAATCCTACTTTTTAAACCATCCGTGATGCCATGTGACCCACATGCTGAGCAGATGTATGGCAGGCTGGGGAGGATGTGAGCTTAGGGTCCAGTGGTCCTGGGGCCTTACTACTGTGCTGCTTCTCATGAATCTAGGAAAGAAGCTTAACCTCTTGCAGACTTGTTTCTTTGGCAGTAACATGGGAATTGAATACCTACCCCCTGCACCTGTCTCAGGTTAAATGATGTAAGTCACTGCAGAGTGTGCAGCCTCAGGTTCACACTCCATGAGATGCCCTTTCCTGAATCACATGGACATCAGGGGAAGGAGGCTCCCTGCAGCTCCAGCCTTCTCCTGTGGGTACAGGGACCACCCTGCAGAGCACCCCTTTTCTCTCTTAGGAAGGGGGGCCTCCAAACCTCCCGGCAAGAATGGAGATGCTCTGTTGGTACCTGCAGGGAGTATTGCTGACTCCTTCCAGATGCAGAGGAAATGGCTCAGGGGGTCATCTCCTCTCCTCCAGCTCACCCTTCTCACTGCAGCCAGGGGCCCTCTCAAAGTGCCTCTTGGAGTCATTCTTCCCGTGCCCTGGGCCAAACTCCCATCCTGTGAGGACTTCCTACGTCTCCATCTCAGAGGGCCCCACTCAGTCCTCCTCACACTGGCCTTGCGGCATCCTAGAGTATCTGTAGCTCTGGCCCCCCTTCTCCCCAGCTACTGTGCTCTATCTGCACCTTCAGCACCTGCTGGACTTGGATGATCTGCTCTTGTCCCTGCTCCTAGGAGGCCTCGGGGGCACTGCACTCCCTCCCACAGGTCTGATGTGCACCTGCTCCCATGTGCCAGGCACCCCACATAGGCATTTGCTTGGCATCCATCATGTTGCACACTAGGCATTGTGTACCCTGAACAAGGACCAATGGCTGAATTCGCTGGGCCTCCTCCATAGCCTGGCACCAAGCCTGGTACAGTGGGGGTACCCAGGGAGGCCAATAAATGGGTGACTGAATGGCTGGCTATGGGTGCAGGATGGCTGGGTGAGTGGGTGGGAGGTGGGGAGAGGGTGAGAGGGAGGGTGGGCCAGGTGGGACATGCTACCACCAGGACCCTGTGAGTATATGGAGAGGGAGAGAAGAGACAGAGCTTGGGGGAGGGGGGGGTGTTTGGATGGTTCACTGGCCACTGTCTAAGACACCCACACCAGCTCCTTCCCAACCACAGCCCGAGCCCAATGCTGGAAGCCCCACCAGAGGGTTGGAACCTACAGGTCAAATGAACAAATCCTGAACGTGAAGTGGAAACCAGTCAAAAGAACTCCCTAACTGGAAAGAACTCCCAGCTAATGGCCTTCACACAAACTGGCCCAAGTCACATCAGAGTTTATGACCTGAGGTTTGCAAGGGCAAATGCAGATGACTAGAACAGGGACCGAGAGAAACGCAACATGCAGTAGATAATGGTAGCTAGAACATTCTGAAGTCTCACCATGTTTTAAGCCTTAAGCTTTTGCACACGAATGCTTGCTGAAAGATAAGGGGTGTGTGGGTGGGGGTATGTTGTTCCTTGTTCCCCCTTTCACATATTCAGAATGTGAAGAACCATGGACCAAGCGTCAGCTGAACGACTGGTCCAAACTCTTCACACCCCTGTAGTAGGATCTTACATCCTCTCCCTCATCATGGCTTCCCTGTGGGCAGGGTGCACATTTCACCCACTTGCTTTGGCTTGGCCATTGACTTTCTTTGGCTGAGAAGCTGTTAGCAGAAAGGACCCAAACAGACTTGAGGTGTGCTTGTGTATTTGATTTTCCTTCTTGTGCTCTTGGTATAGCTATAAGAGAAGTATTATCTAGGAAGCCCACTAGTCCTGGAGTAAAAGAACATGAACCTGAATATAATCTATGACCTGGAGCCAAGCCCAGCCAACCCCAACCCAACCCAGCCAACCCATAGACCCTCGAGTGAGAATTAGATGCTTTGGGTTGCTTGCCGCTGAGATTTTGTTATGTAACAACAGCTGACTAATCTGGACAATAACAAATATCATCCACTCAGGGATCACGCTGTACAGGTGCCGTTCTGGCTATTTTCCACACACCTTTCCACGTAACCATGACAACATCCCTAAGACACAGGTGTCACCCTCTTCATTTACAGAGAAGCAAACTGGGGCTCGAATGGTTAAAGCAATGTGTCCAAGGTCAGGGCTAATATGTGAAAGGTTAGCATCCAGGTTTGTCTGCCTTCAAAGCCCATGCTGTGTGTCAAACTCGCCTCCCCATGGAACAAACAGAAGGGTGACAGGAGCAGGGCCTCTACTCTGTGCCTAGCAGTCCTGATACCCTAGGTTAGCAAGGCGTTTCATTTTATCTCATGACTTTATTTGCATCAAAACACATCACAGCCAAGGGCTGTCTTTTTCAAATGCTGACCAAGTTCATCTATGAACTCCAATGTAGACACCCCTGCAGACAACTATAACAAGCCTTTTCAAAGGAAGCACCAGTGAGCCATCTCTGCCCCACTGCCAAATGCTGGAAGCTGCACCCATAGTTTTTTCCACGGCCACCTGCTAACTGTGAGAAGTCATGTGCCTGGACAGATGGTGGCGCTCCCGGAAATACTCATGGCAAATGGGACACGTGAGGGCCTCTTCTCTCAACTTCTTAGAATGTAAGTCAGGCCCCACATGTTCCTTTTTGTGGTGAGACCGCATGTGGAAGACCAGGTCGGAGGTCAGGCGAAAGGAGAGGTTGCACTTTGCACACCAATTCTGGGTGGACAGGCCCAGGGAGGTGAGTGTGGGAGGCAGCAGGGCCCAAGAGGCAGTGGAAGAGGACGATGATGGTATGGACATCTGGGCTGTGGCATGCTTTAGCCACAGTGTGGGGGCCCCCAGGAAAGCACTGCAGAGAGGAGCATTTTGTGGCAACATTTGCAGGTTCCAGAAATCACCCACCAGAAACTTAGAACTTGAAAGCTGACCCCAACAAGGGATGTCTGCCGTGTTGATGAGTCCCAACAGCTCCCCAAGGGCATCTGCAGGTCCACTTGCCTGGAAGACGGAGGTTGGCCCAGGTCTCCCTGCTGGACACCTGGCTGGTTTGCTGAAGGCGCTTCTCTGCTCCCCTCGGGCTCCAATGGGCCACGCAGAGGTTTTGCTGCCAGCTGGGTCCCTGGGGATGTCCTGGGTCAGCTTCTGGGGACCAGGCTGGCCTGTGGGGTTATCTTGTTCCCTCTCCAAGGCCTGAGCACCCTCCAGCCTCTTCTTGAGTCGAGGCACCTCTGTGAAGGCACTCTGCCCCTGTTCCCAGCACACCTTCTGGACCACTGGCTTTCCCGGTCTGAGTTTGCCTGGGGTTGCCAACAGCGCCACCTCAGCAGAGGTCTCCTGGCCACCACCACCCACGGCAGCCTCAGAGCCCAAGTTGTTTGTTTTCTCCGGCAGTGCTGGCTTGCAGCCCCAGCCCTGGTCAGCCTCACTAAGCCTCCATGTGTTTTCAGCTGAAGAACTCTGCAGAGTACCCTTCCCAGCAGCCATGTTGACCAGTAGTGTGTGAGCCAGCTGACGAAGGTGGACGCTCCAACAGCTATCAGCCTTCAGAGCTTTGGCGTAGTGGAGGGCTTGACCCAGGGAAGAGCCGTGAGATTGGGGAGCTCCCCTGCTGGCTGGGCCAGCCACACTTGGACCACAGGACTCTGCACAGAGGGGAAGCAATAGCAGTGAGACATGAACTCTTCATTCCTCGTTGTTTGCATCCAAAGAACCCTGACAACTCTAGATGCGACAGCTCACCCTGACTCAGGGCACTGTGCCACCTGCTTTCACCTCTAGGACTCCATCAGGGAGGAAGGACCACACCGCATGACTCTGCCACCCAGGGACGTGGCTCAGCACTGCCTCACACCTGTCAGCATTCAGGCCACAGCTGCCGTGTTCACACAGCACACAAGGTGTCCACCAGGAAGTTCTGACCTGGCTGACAACTCTAATGTACTTTACACCATGATTTGTGAAAGATTTTCATTTTTGTTTAGAGCCTTCTTGCTACTCAGCATGCTAATTTTTCTCCCAAAACATCAGAAGCACCAGGACACAAGCACATGGGGACTGTAGCTCCGGTAGCACAGGTGGCCAGAGGGTAGAAGCTGGACAATAAATGCCCAGGCATGCCTGGGTGAGTTTGGGGTTGTGCCTGGCCCCACCTCCACTCCTGAGGGCAGCCACCTGTCCACCCGGCCCTGCCCCCAGAGCAAGCATGGGTCTACTCTGTATCCACACAAGAGAAGTGCCCGCACTTGGTTCTCCTCGGACATTAATCCATTTACTCTCCCCTGCTCACCTGTCAGCTGTCTGCTTGTGCCAGCCAACCTGCTGAGCCTACTCAGGTAGACCAGCCTCCACTTCATCCTGGAGGTGCTCAAGGCTTAGAGAAAAGACGCTCATGGCCACATGTGAGGTTGCACTGAAGAGGTCAGAGTGCCATCAGCTCTGATGGGGAGGCTTTCATTCCTGCCCTTCCCTAATCAACTCCACCAGCCAGTTCTTAAAACCAGGACACCCGTCTTCACGCCCCTCAACCACAGCTGGTGAGCAGCCCTGGCTAAACCAGACTCCACTGAGTGTTCTGAGTTTTCATAGTTAGACAACAGTTATCCTCAGGCCCAAGAGGACTGTGATCAGTGGGCAACCAAGCCCCTTCCTCATGGGGACTTCTACAGGCTTGTTATTCATAAACATCACTGGGCTCAAGTCAGCCCCTGCCTACCTGGAAATGGAAGCACAGGTACCCTGCCCTCATTCTCTCTGTCTCAGTGGCAAGAGTCTGGGACAGGTGTTTTGCATGTGCCTCCACCCTCACCTTCCACCTTCACTACACTTGGAGGACCATCACCCTCTTTCACAGAGGAAGAGGACACGGGTTCTGGAAAGCTGAACACCCCACCTAAAGTCCTCTGCAGTATGAGGCACTGCTGGGAATGAAACCCAAGAGTGTGTCCCCAAAGCATGCTTTGGTTGAACTGCCATGTGGCCCTCATGATGCCCCAAGTGATGAGCACCAACTCCAAACTATATGCTTCCAGTGTTCCAGGAGAAACACTCCTAACTCCCTCTCCAAATTCATTCTCAAATGGGGTGCCTTTGGCATCAAAGTTTAGTGCTAGCCTATGTTTCTTGAAGAGGCAGAGGCGACCACACCGGTCTACCAAGTAACCCGGCACTGACCCTCCCACCTCACTCAACCTCAACATCCCATCTATAAACTAGAGTTGGTGCTAAATTATCTCACTGTGCTTTCCAGATCTGCCAGTGTATGACTATTTGAGATGAAGCCTATTCTCCCTCATCCTCAAAGAAGAGCTGGTCTGCTTGAAGCCTTATTGCTGAGCTTCTGTGAGCTCACAAAGACACACACACACACCCAGATACACTCACACCCTCACATGCACTCACAAACACTATAGCCACACGCTCAAATACACATATACTCACAGACACACACATGTACACTCACATATACACATGCGCACATATGATCACACACTTACATACACTCACACTGAAATACTCATACACACACAACATCCCCTCTCTAATCCTTCTCTCTTTCTATACCCACCTCTGCCTCAGACAGCCTTCCCGATTGTATTTTAGAACCATACAATGTCTTTCCCAAGCCTGGGCACGAGCCCACCCTGCTGTCCTCCTGGTCCTGCTGCAGCCCTACGTCCCTTTGCAGACAGCTCTACTGGGCTGTCTTCACGGCTTTGCCAACCACGGTCGTGTAGACCCAGTTGCTAGAAATGTCTGGAGTGCCCTGAGCCACAGATGTGACAGCGCTGTTTCAGCATTCAAATTTGGAATATGGGAATCTTACTGCAGGATGAAATATTTGCTGCCAGGGATGCTTTGTGATGTAAGAATAGAACTAACTGTTTATTGACTATGAAAGTGAATATGTGACAAAGATGTTCAATGCTTCATATACCTTTTTGTGTGGAATCTTCATGTTAACCACACAAGCGAAGCTCCATGATCCAACCCAAGTGCATTCATTTCCAACCTGCCAAATGCCACGTTGCTTAATGCAACACTGCCTTCCAGCTTTCAGACCAATGTGGGCCTGGAGTCTGCCAATCACTATGTTAAATATACATCCATCTTCATGCTCCATCAATTTTATTATTCAAATCTTACTCATAATAATGAGAACAACAGAAGGAGAAGAAATAAAAGGGCATGATAATAATAATAATATTGGGGTGCCTGGGTGGCTTAGTCAGTTAAGCATCTGACTTTAGCTTAGGTCATGATCTCACAGTTCATAGGTTCAAGCCCTGTGTTGGACTCTGTGCTGACAGCTCAGAGCCTCGAGCCCACTTTGGCCCTCTCTCTCTGCCCCTTCCACACATGCATCTTTCTCTCTCTCTCTTTCTCTCCCTCAAAAATAAACATTAACATTTTTTTAAATAACAAAAATAATAATATTGAGGAGGAGAAGGCGAAGAAAAGGAGAAGACGAGGGTACTGAACTGGCTGGGGACCTTTGGCATGACCAAGCTCCCAGAGGGTCACCTCTCTCTCATACATCAGCAGTCCTGAGGTAAGGTCACTCAGGCAAGTGCAAACAATGTCCTACAAAACTCTGTATGGGGCTCCCTATAACTGGTCCATTCTGTCTGTGACATTGCCAGATCGAAGCCTCTCAAAGCCAAAAGTGACGTGTGCCTGACGTGGCCTGTCCCCAGTGAGACTGTGTCAGCTCCTGATGCTCATCTCTTCTTGTAGAAGGACTCACAGGCCCTTTCCCAGGGTCAACATCAGACTCTGGGGCTCATCCAGCTCCAGGCTCCATGCATCTCCCCTATGATCCAGCTCTCAGATGACCTGTGCAGATGCATGATGTCACCTCTGGGGTCACATCATGCCCTGGCCAGTGAGTTCTGGGTCAGGAGACCACATGCACAGCAGCTTGATGCTGCCTCACCCCTTCTTCCTACGTGAGCCTACCCATGCCCTTTGCAACTAGAGGGTGGTTCTCAGACAGACATTCCAGTGGATGTATGCACCTCTTGTTGTTCTTGCTCCATACAGTCTTAAGGGGCCCTTTACTGTCCCTCCACTGTCCTCAATAGCCTCAGTTCATTCTGGGCTCTCGACCCAGACACTATTTACTTGTCCCCTTCACTCTGTTATGTGTGTCCTGAGAAGGTTCTCTTTGTCTTCCTTGGATCTCTTCAGTTTGAGCTCAGCAAGATAGTCTTCTGGGTCACACAGACATCTTTCAGTGCCACCCTATGTCTTCCTATTGAGAGGACCTGATTTCAGTCCTATAGTTTCCAACCCATCTGAGCCCTCAGATTGTGGGATTATGAAATAATGATCTTTGCAACCTTCTGAATCTGAGTTTCCTACATTGATATCGTGTGACCACATCGAGTCTTCCCTCTCTTAGAGGATACTTTTCCCTCAGGCTTTCAATCTTCCTGGGCCACTAGTGAGGATTCCACTGACCAACACAGGAAGGGCTACCCACTTGGAGATGAAGCCTCATCCACCCTACAGTGTTACAAGCACATGTGCCTATGTTTATTACCCATTTCCAGGGCACTGAGTGCAGACTTCAATCATTCTGTGACCTGGGAAACACTGGCCACATTCTTCCATAATACTTTTCTGTTCGTGCTATAAGTGACCCTTCCCATGTAATCATCAAGCCTTACATTACATAGAGGTTAAGTGCATAGCCTCTCATGTCAGATGTCTGGATCAAACCCACTCTGCTCTTACCAATCCTGTGACCAAAGGCAAGGGGCTGATCCTCTCTCTGCCTATTTTCTCATCTATAAAACGACTCTTTCTAAAAAGGATCATCTTGGGGTCTCCTTCATTGGGTGGCTGTAAAGATTAGTTGGGTTAATATATCTGAAGTGTTAAAGAGCCTGGTTCAATAAATTTTAGATAGCATCAATTTATCAATTATTATCACACTAGTGCAAAGGGTCAGAGTCAACCTCATGGCTGCCTTCCCTCTATTCATGTGCTCCCAGGAACCAGGGCACAGTAGTGTTTAATGAGTGACCAAATGCCTGGGCATTTTCCTCCTTTCCCTTTCATTCATGTAAGAAAGAAGTTTTAGCAAATTCACGTAAGAAAGAGGTTTTAGCAAACAATTGGGCAACCTCATTTTCCTGAGATATCTGAAGGTACTCTCCAGCCCATTTCAGCTGGCCAGTGTCCAGCTCTTCCAAGCTGCAGCTCACTCAGAAACAGGATCTTATTGAGTGATGCCGCTTACATCACCAGCTAGTGTCTTCCTGTGTCTGCCTTCCTTTTTAGCTAAAACAGGAGCAGATAATATCTGCTCTCCATAATCCTTTGATTTCCCTACACTTTGGAGATGCTTCTCAGACCCTTAAGGAAGGTTCCAGAGGATAATTCTCTATCCATCTCTTCTACATATGGATTATGACGTACTGGGTTTTCTGAGAAGGGAAATATACATGCGTCCTCCTAGCTCTGGAACCCTGAGAAAATTAAAAACTGGAGAGGTATCCAGGCTTTCCTGGAGGCTGGCTAGAAGTGCCCTTGGAG